GAGAGAGAGAGAGAGAGAGAGAGAGACATGCACACAAACATATACACACTAATAATATTTCTATATTTCAGCCAGTCATACTAGAAATAAAGTTCAGTTAATCCAAGTCGACTGGCAGTAAAGCTCACATTCTAAAAATTGTTTATCATTTAAGTCTGCTCAAAAAAAAAAACCCAACAAAATCTCACCAATGTTTAAATTTTTGCATGAGAGCCTTTAAGCAAGTTACAAGGCTGTCACAGGTCTAATGTTTAAATTACAAGCTGTTTTATAACACAAAGAACTGAGTTTATGAGATTTAAGAAAAAAATCTTGGGTCATTAAAAGAAAGATAAAGAGTCAAGTCAGGGAGTTAGCTCCTACCTACCTAGTACAAAACACAAGTCCTATTCAAAACTGCAGTCACTTGCGGACTGGGTGGAGTCTGGTCCCCTCCCCATCAGATCCCAGAGAATAACAAAACCATTAACTACTAAAAGGAGTAACCAGGGCACAAGCGGTGCAAGCCTTTACTGTGATTACTGCCAATGTCAAAGCAGAGCAGTGAGAAACGGCCTTTGTGGGGATCAAAACAGCTCCTGGAAATCTGCCATAAACACGTGTACGCTATTTGTTATGGGTGAATCGAGGGGGTAAAAAAGGCTTCATACGAATGTGCAGGAATAAAGTTAGGAGCAACAAATCATCTTCCGCACAGGACTGAAATTAAGTCAGGTCAGCAGAAGGAGGTCCCAACACACCGCCGCGCCCCGCCCCTGGCCCGAGCGCTCCCCTGGCCCGCGGCGACGGCGCTCGGAAGTTGTTATAGTAACCACACCGACGCACGCGGCGTCCAGGGGGTGCCACGGAATTCGCAGGTACTGCTTAAACTGGGCTCCCAGCTTCTCCCCGATAACAAAAGCGCATTCGGGTTTTATCCTACGGGCCCACCTGCAATTTCTGCAAGATCTGTTTGCCTTCTTCCTCTTCATCAGCCATCGTTTCCTGGCCACGCTCGGCTACTCCGCCCCCAACTTTATAACCAGAGAGACGCATACCTACGCTCATCTTGGAGCCACAGCGACATCTAGGGCTCTGGAGGCTTGCCTGCACCTAAATAGAGGAGCTGGTTTTCAAGGAAGGATATCACTCCTAACCAGCTTAACCCAATGCCTAAAGATCAAAGGAGATGCCACGTTACAGTTCATAAACTTCATTTCCAAAATCCTAGAAACAATCTGTTCTCGGATAATTGCATGTACTGTATAGTTTTGTCTCATTTTTTCCTACTTATTTATGCCCAGATTATAATACCCCCCAAAAGAAGACAGGTTGAGAGTAGATGCTTGTGTTACAAGTTTAAAATTTGAAGGAAATGTAGTACACCTTTACAGTGATTTTCTATGTATGAGGAACTTTATCATTTTGAACACACTAACCTAATAAATCTACTACATTTGGGGTATATTAGTGCACTAATAATGCTTATTGACAGACTATATATTCAGGATACATAAGAGGCAATGAATGATGTCTCTGGAGAAGGAAATAGGGGGACTGAGAGTTGTTGGTAGGCAAAGAAAATTTCACTATGTACACTTTTGAATTTATTGTTATGTACATGTATTAGTTACTCAAAAATAAGCATAATTTTTAAATTAAAAAATTACTTACTTCCACATAGACTCTTTCTGAAAGAGACACAAGACACCTGCAACAATAACTGCTTCCAGAAACGGGAAGCCAGTGGCTGGGAGACAGGTGCCTTTTCTGTACCTTTTGAATTTGTACCATGTGAATATATTAAACTTTTTAATAATAGGTAACTATTTTAAAAGTTGCATGTAATAGTTCTAACAAAGTTTCTCTTTATTGTTTAGTTTTAATTATAGCTTACTTGTACTCCAGACTGAGTCTGTGAATCTACAGGAAGAAACAAAACCCCAAGGCAGAGCTTGGCTGGCTTGTCTCAGTGACTGAGTGTGGACCAGGAGGTCATGGTTCAATTCGTGGTCAGGGCACATGCCTGGGTTGTGTGCTTGATCCCTAGTGGGGGGTGTGTAGGAAGCAGCTGATCAATGATTCTCTCACATCTACCTCTCTCTCTCTCTCTCTCTCTCTCTTTCTCTCTCTCTCTCTCTCCCCCCCCCCCTCTCTCTCTCTTATCCTCTCCCTTCCACTCTCTAAAAATTCAATGGAAAAAATATCCTCGTGTATGGAAGAAAAATACTTTGTACTGTAATCTGTAAAATCTGTGTGATTACTATGAAATAGGAAGGGACATTTTAAAACTTTATTCATTTTAGAGAGAGAGGAGGGGTAAGAGAGAGACATCACTTTGTTGTTTCACTAATCTATGCATTCATTGGTTGATTCTTGTATGTGCCCTGAACTGGGATGGAACCTGCAACCTTGGCATATTGGGACTATGTTCGAACCAATTGAGCTACCCAGCCAGGGTTTAAAACTTTTAAGTCAGGATTTTTAATCCTCTTTCTCAGACAAGTGGTCTTTGGCACTAGTTCAATGCCAACAGGAATCCCCAATTTGGGGTGTGGTAAAGAAGGAAACTTTATTCAGTGCAAAACAGCTCAATTGTAATAGAGCATGGCACAGCTGTGAGGTAGTCCTGGGGCCAGGTGGTCCTGGAGCCAGGCCCCCCTCTCCAGCTAGACAGCTCTCCTCCGTTCCTAGTCAGCTCTGCTCTGTGCCCATCTGCTGTGGCCTATGCTGGTCTGCTCCACTCTGTTCTGGGGAGACATCTTCTGTTTCAGCTCTGGTCAGGGGAAACTACTACAGCTAAAGTCTTCAGTATTCAGTGGAAAGGGAAAGTGCACTTTAGACTGTCTAAACCACCAGAGGCCCCTCCCTGCCCACCCCCTGCTGACCCCACCCCCACATTGCTCCCCCAACGCCCCCATCAAGGGCAGGGCCAGCTGGCCAACCTCCTGTGTCCCCTCCCCTTAGCCAGCCAGGCCCAATGGGCCAGATCGGAACAGGCCACCAGACCTCACCCATGCGCAAATTGGTGCACGAGGCCTCTAGTAAGATACATAAATGTCAAATCACTATTTGTACATCTGAAACTAATATATTGTATGTCAACTAAACTTTAATAAAATAAATATTTTTGAAGAGATTTTAGTCTATACTCCTAAATTGCTTCCTATTCAATTATGTAAAACAAGGGGTATTTACTCCCCTTTCTATAATGACTAAATATTAAAAAATCATCAAATTTGCCCTGGCCAGTGTAGCTAAATGGTTAGAGAATTGGCCCTAGGACTAAAAGGTCATGGGTTTGATTCCCAGTCAAGGGCACATACCTGAGTTGCAGGTTCATTCCCTGGCCCAGTGGGGGCCCTCGCAGGAGACAACCAATCTATGTGTCTCTCTCACATCAGTATTTTTCTCTCTCTCTCTCCCTCCCTTCTTTCAGCTCTCTAAAAGGTCAATGGAAAAAAATATCTTTGGGTGAGGATTAACAACAAAAACAAAAAATCCTCAAATTATTTCAGTATGATTACCTAAAAATCAATGGGATTTGACATTTAGTATTTCATTGTAATTCTTCCCAAACCAATAAGAATAAATCACAAAACTTGATAGTTACAAAAGGCTTACTGAATAATCAAATTCAATCCCCCATTTTACAGATATAGAAACAAAAGCCCAGAAAGTTTAAACTCAAACGTGCATAACCAAAAAGGCCATAATTAGAACCCAGACATTCTATCACCCCAACCAGTATGATTTCAAGTCTTGCCTCTAATAGGACATAGTTACTGAAAGTGTCCTTCAAATTTCTTTTATGGTCTATACTTTAAATAAGTTATCTGTCAAAAATACTCACTATTTAATAAAGGAAAACAGGGAATACATTTTTTAAAGTATTTTAGCCCTAACTGGTGTGACTCAGTTGGTTGAAGACTGGTCCCATTCACCAAAAGGTGGCAGGTTCAATTACCGGTCAGTGCACATACCCAGGTTTTGATTCCATCCCCAGTCCGGGTGAGTGCTAGAGGCAACAGATGTAAGTTTCTCCTTCTCTCATGAGCACGCGCTCGTTCTCTCTCTCTCTCTCTCTCTCTCTCTCTCTCTCTCTCTCTCTCTCTCTTGTTTCCCTTGCTCTCTAAAATCAATTTAAAATTTTTAAAGTATCTTAATTAATATAACCTCTTGAGATTAATATCATATTGTAAGTTTTCTATGACAGAAGTGCATTACTAAATAAGTAAACCCAAGCACTATTTGGTTTGGCTCAGTGGATAGAAGGTCAACCTCAGACTGAAGGGTCCCAGTTTGATTCCGGTCAAGGGCACATGCCCACGTTGCAGGCTCAATCCCCACTAGGAGGAACGCAGGAGTCAGCCAATCAATGATTCTCTCTCATCATTGATGTTTCTATCTCTCCCTCTCCCTTCCTCTCTGAAATCAATAAAAATATATTTAATAAAAAATAATAAATAAATCAAGACAACAGCTGACAAAACAGTAAAGGAATAATTTTATTTTTAAATAAATGGCAAAAACTCAACTTTACAAAATAACTTTATCAATGTAAATAATTTTTAAATAGAAATAAGAACTGATCATATGTACATCAAATTATACTCCCATTCACTGAATGAGCACATACATTCCAAACAAGTTAATGCAAGAGCAAATATGTAAATATATAGGAATAAATGTATACACCCAAATAACAAACTACAGACATACATTACCCTTTCCTGAGAACTAAATCTGCTCATAAATATACTGGAAAATACAGCAAAATATCAATATAAAGGAACATGCATATACATATAGGCATAAATACCAAACTCCAAAATGACATGCTGACATATAACACAGGTGCTTTTATACATATGCATAAACATATAGCTCAGTCAGAAACGCCCAGACAGAAACAAATTGTGATCTACAAAGCACCTTATAATATTATAACCTTCCTACTACTGGTAAAAACTCAACAGTTCACAATGAAATTGAGTTTAATAAAATGCTCATGCTTTAAATAATCAAAACAGAAAAAGGAACCAGATTCTAAAGCCACTCCTCATTGCCACTCAATTTCTTAAAAATTGAATATGTGAAGACAACTTCAAAACTTAGTAGCACAGGGAGGTTGGTGACTCCTATCTAGAATAAAGATTATTTGATAAATGTAATCACTAAAAGTGAACAGAGAAACATTTTGTAAAGTGCATTAAATTCTTTTTACTTTAAAGGCCCTGCTAGAGACTTGCTGCTGCTCTAATTCACGACTTGGAGATGCAAAACTAAAAAAGTTGTTGCTGGGTTCAGGTGCTGTGGGAGAACCCATAAAAAATGGTCTGAACTGAAAATCTCCGTCTCCACCACCCTGGTTTTGAACTGGTGTACTGTCCAAAGGAAACTTGGATTTGTTCCCTGGGGGGGAAAGAAGGGGAAAACTTAAGCATCTATTTACTTACAAATTTTTAAAACCAAAAAGACAAAATTCATTCAATAAATATTTTAACAGAACTCAATTCATACAAGACAAATAAAATATAAACCTAATGTTAAATAAAGAAAAGGACCATCATAGTCTCCATCCCTCCCCCTGACCACAGTATAAATACTGTACCTTCTTCTGTCATGCAATTTCCAATTACAGCCATGACCTCATCACCAAAAGTAATTTGACACAATGAAATACATTTTTAGCCTTGACTGGTGTGACTCAGTTGGTTAAAGCATTGCCCTGTGCACCAAAAGTTCATGGATTTGATTCCCAGAGGGCACATACCTACGTTGTGGATTCAATCCCCAGTTGTCAGGGCACTTATAGGAGGCAACTGATATCTACCTATCTATCTATCTATCTTCTTCCCTTCCTCCATCCCTCCCTCTCTAAAAATCAACTTAACAAATAATAATCATAATTAATTAATTAATGGCAGCTAATATTATTATTACTGTAACTAAATAGCTTTCCATTTAAAGTAATAATTTGTGAAATTTTATTTTGAAGATATTTACTTTCTGTTCAAATTGAAGCTGTAACTTAAACATAAACAAATATAATAGATAAAAGATAATAGATAAATGATGTAAAGAATGAGACATGGATGAAGAATAGAGCCTATCACCATTCTCAGCCTTTGGAGTCTCTACTAACTACTTGGAGCCATGCAGAACACAATGTGGAAAATCACTGATTTAAAGAACAAATATTAGATAATTATATGTCCTTCCTTACCTAATGGGAAGCCAAAAATACCACAATTGGAAATCATGGATGGTTCAAAGTTACCTTCCTGATTAGCAATAGTGATGTTTCGTAGCCTAAGGCTATCATAGAGGCCTTGGAGCTTTTGATACTGACGATTCCGCTCCATAAGTTTCTCAGAGATGTCACTGAACTTTTTCTTGTATTCTTCTAGCACTTTCTTCATTGAGGTGACCTCTCCTTTCATTGAGGTCAATTCTACATCCTTGCTCTGTATTTGCTGAGTATATATCTTCTCCATCTGCTTCAGATGACCCTCAGCTTTGCTAAATTTGTATTCTTGATAGAGACGCTCCTGATGTACCTGTCCCAAGAGAGGAGAAAAAAAGATTTTTAAGTTAATAAATACAAAATTTATATATTGTAAAACTTTACAAATGCAAAAAGAAAAGAAAGATGATTATCCTGGGGTATTATTAACATTTAGAACCATGTTAAGAAGTAATCGGGGTGTACAATAGGATGATTATTATAGAAAGTAATATGTTATGTAACTAAATGCATAAAAAAATCTGGAGGAATACTATCACACCACTACCATTACACCAACAAAAGAAGTAAGCATTTGTCTAACTTTTACAAATGACATGTAGTCCAAAAATTTTTTGTATGCAGGCATATAAACATAACCAAAGGACGCAAGACACGGGGGGTGGGGGTTGAGGGCATGTAACGGGGGGTAAGGGAGGCTGGGGGAAGGTCAATGGGGAAAAAAGAGGAGACATATGTACTACTATTTGTAATACTTTAAACAATAAAATAAAATTTAAAAAATTATATTGGGATTAGGGGTGGGAGGGGGAAGAAGGGGGAATTATGATGCTTTTTTGTTAAACTAGAAGGAATATACTATATCTACTAATAAAAACTATTATTTATTGAAAAATAAAAAAAGTTTAAAAAAGAAATATAATCTGCCCTAGCCTGTTTGACTCAGTGGATAGATCATTGGCCTGCAGACTGAAGGGTCCCAGGTTTGATTCAGGTCAAGGGCACATGCCCGGGTTGAGGGCTTGATCCCCGGTAGAGGGTATATAGGAGGCAGCTGATCAATGGTTCTCTTTCATCATTGATGTTTCTATCTCCCTCTCCCTCTCCCTTCCTCTCTGAAATCAATAAAAAAATTTTTTTTAAAAAGAAATATAATCCTATGTTTTAAGTAATCATAATACAAAGAACAGATTATAAGATAGCCCCCAATTATTCCTGTCTCCTTGGTATTACTAGTATATTCCCTTCCTTGAGTGTGGATGGGAGACCTGTAACTAAAACACAGAAAAAAATTACAAGATGTCACTTCATGAGAATATAAGATCTGTCTTGTTAGTACACTCTCTCTTGTTGGCTTTGTGAAAGCATGCAGCCATCCTGGGAAGGCCAACAGGGCAAGTATCTGAGAGGAGACTCTGGGCAATAGCCAGCAATATACTTAGGTCACGGTGAATCGACTCATAGATTTTACACCTTTCACAAAATTAACTCAAAATGGATCACAGACCTGAATGTAAAATATAAAACTATAAAATTCCTACAAGATAACATAGGAGAAAATCTAAACACATTGTTTGCGAGTAGTTTTTATCGCGCGCTAACAGGTGGCGCGGGCCATTTTTGCTAATTTTTTGCGCAAATGGCAACGTTCAGTAAAATTACGATAACTTTAGTTTACGTATTTATACGTTACCTGCATTCTACCGCTAGTCTATAAAAAACGTATTAATATGTGTCCCGTGCTCTACTACCAGTCAACGTAAAACGTATAAGTAAAACGTATAAATATGTTTCCCGCATACAATGTGTAAATGACCTTGGGTTTGGCGGTGACTTTTTACTAGTATATATAACACCAAAGACAAAATGTACTTAAGAATTGATAAGCTAGACTTCATTAAAATTAAAATTTTCTGCTCGTGAAAGACAATGTCAAGAGAATAAAAGATAAGCCACAGACTAATCTATATATATATATAAAACCCTTAATGACTGAAGGACTGAACGACCAAACGACTGGTCAACTGGTTGCTATGATGTGCACTGACCACCAGGGGGCAGATGCTCAATGCAGGAGCTGCCTCCTGGTGGTCAGTGTGCTCCCACAGCCAACTTACCTATATCCAATTGGTAAGTCGAAAGTATGGAGAACCAAGTACCCTCATATGCTTCTTAATAGAACACACTGATATAACCTAATTTGAGGGCAATTTAAAAATACTGCAATTTAGCCCAGCTGGCGTGGCTCAGTGGTTGAGCATCGATCTATGAACCAGGAGGTCACTGTATGATTCCCGGTCAGGGTGCATTCCTGGATTGTGGGCTCAACCCCTGATGTGGGGTCCTGCAGGAGGCAGCCAATCAATGATTCTCTCTCATCATTGATGTTTCCATCTCTCTCTCTCCCTCTGCCTTCCTCTCTGAAATCAATAAATATATTTTTTAAGCCCTAGCCCATGGACTGAAGATCCCAGGTTAGATTCTGGTCAGGATCATGTACTTTGGTTACAGGCTTTATCTCTGGCCCTGGTTGGGGTGCGTGCAAGAGGCAACCAATCGATGTGTCTGACATCGATGTTTCTCTCTCTGTCTCCCTTCCCTTCCACTCTCTAAAAATCAATGGAAAAATATCCTCTGGTGCCCAGCTGGTGTGGCTCAGTGGTTGAGTGTTGACCTATGAACCATGATCCACAATAGAAAATGTGCAGGGGGCAGCCGATCAATGATTCTTTCTCATCATTGATGTTTCTAGCTCTCTCTCCCTCTCACTACCTCTCTGAAATCAATAAAAATATTTTTTTAAAAAGAAAAATATCCTTGGGTGAGAATTAACAAAAAACAATGTGCAAATTGTTTAAATACTGCAATTTAAAAAACATTAGAACCCATTTCCTCAAGTGGATTATGCAGTTGAAATTGATTTATCTAGCCCTAAGCAGTTTGGCTCAGTGGATAGAGCGTCAGCCTGCGGACTGAATGGTCCCAGGTTCGATTCCGGTCAAGGGCATATACCTTGGTTGCGGGCACATCCCCAGTGGGGAGTGTGCAGGAGGCAGCTGATTGATGTTTCTCTCTCATCGATGTTTCTAACTCTCTATCCCTCTCCCTTCCTCTCTGTAAAAAATCGATAAAATATATTTTTTTAAAAGAAATTGACTTATCTATCTTCAGGAATTTAATCTTAGCAAATAATTAAAGACATGCATTTGATATTAATAATGCTCATCAAAGCATTTTTAATAACTTGGAAATAAATTATGATTCAATACAATCATTAAAATTATAATTACATAATGCTTAATTTAAAAATATTTAAAAAAATATTCATAATAGGCATAATATATCATCAACTTTAACTGGCCATAAAAACAGTATGTTTGTTATTATCCTTTTTTATAAAGACAAAAATATATACTTATATATAAAATACATATTTATATACATAAAAGTAGTAATACACAAAATATCAACAATAATTATCTCTGAGTGATGGAATTATGGTTTTTTAAATTGTTCTTTCTTCTGGATTTTCAACAATAAATACATTACTTTTAAAGAAAAAATGTATTAAAAAGAAAGTTTTCCATACATTCATAAAAAATAAATACAAACACAAGTGAAGGAAAAACATTAGAAACTTCTACATATACCTCAAATCATACTCTCCAAAGAAACTAGCCTAAGCACTAACCTGGTATGTCCAGAAGGCCAGTGCTCGGGAGCTAATGTCCAACACAATCTCTGGTCGAAGTCCGGCCAGTACCATGGCTTTATATTCCTCTGATGGACTGAGTTCTGTACGGACAATATCTAGTTTTCCAGAAAGGGTACTGTTGCAAGCTGGGCAGATAGCTGGCGAACGACTAAACTCACCGCTGCCATGCTGATCACAGAAAATGTGAGAGCAGGCAGTGACCCACGCATAACCAGAGAGCTTGATGCGACACTTTCGATAATTACAAAGCAGCATGTCGTCACACAAAGACATAATATACAGTGAGGTCCCAGATTCTGAAATGAATCCTAATAAGCAGGAAATGAAAAGGTCAAATAAATCAAATTGCAGTGAAAATGAAGTAAATAACAAATAAAGAAACCATGTTTTAATTTTATAATAATGTACATTTATGTTTTTGCATTTATTACATTTAATATATTGTGTTGATTTTAATCACTTAACCATATTAATTGTGCTCCTTTGTGCAAACCACTACAAAGGCCTTGAAAAAAATTTAATGGAAAAGTTAAGACACAGGTGGTTACAAATTTTAGTAAAATAAAAAATAGTATGTACATGGGGGGAAAGTTTACAAAGTACAAATAAAAAATTAAATTAGTGCTTATTGTCATTCCTTAACACATACACAAAAATCCCAATTTATTACCCATTCTTAGTTTGCTAGGATAGTTCAGTATCACTCTCACACTCGGCAGACAGGACAGTCCAGGAACTGACCAGCCATCCTTTAGTGCCAAATACTTTGAGGTTTTGCGTATATGCTGATTTCTCAGGTTCTTCACCTACAGAGTCCTAGTAACCTGATACTATTAAATGGAAACTAACCTCATCCACCCAAGTGATGGAGCATTACGAAGCACGAAAAACTGCGTAAACGCAGGTATGTTTATCATGAGATCAACATTCGCCGGTTATTATAAATCCTATTCCATGCTACGCTTCCATTTAAAACATCTGTAAAACTAAATATACTCTTAAGTTACTTTTCAATATAGTGTTCACTCTTATTGGAATTTTACTAACCCGCACAGGGCAGCAATCTTCTGGATACACTAAAATAAGTCATAAACTAAAAACAATAATAATAATAATAATAATAATAATAATAATAATACACCAATTAGACGCCAAGAAAAAATGTTCACATTTCTCCAGTGACAAATATGTCAAGAATGCTGCATTGGGCCCTGCCGGTTTGGCTCAGTGGTTAGGGCGTGGTTTCTCTCCCACCCCCCACCCGCCACACACACCCCCCGAAGGGTCCGGGTGGTATTCTGGCCAAGGGCTCGTGCCTCGGTTGCACGCTCCATCCCGCCCCAGTGTGGGGCGTGGGGGAGGCAGCCCATCTCTCGCACCGATGTCTCTCTCTGTCTCTCCCCTCCCTTCCAGTCTCTCTAATAATCAATGGACAAATATTAACAACAACCAGAAATGTTACATTGGTCACAGGGTGGACAAGGACACTGACACTTTGCCCTCAGCGTGAGTCTCCACAGGTGTACGGCAGGCCAGGCCGCCGCGGTTAGGAGGCCTGTTTTCCCTCCGCACGGTAATGGGCAGCGGGGAAGCAGAAGAGCTGGGAACAGTCTCAAAGCCGAGACCGTTCTCGAAGAGCGAGAGGCACAGATAATACCAGCTTCTCCACGAGATGCGGAAAGAGCCAATTTAGCGAGCTGTCCAGTTTTCAAGGGCCAACTTTTTGAGATTTGGATTCACAGAAACATCACTCAGAAATTCTCGGCCGACTTTCCGTGCTGGACACAGAAAATAATTCTAATGACATACCTAAGCTGAGGCGACACAAGAGAAAAAAGCGCGGGAAAACGCGGTTCTCTCCACCACGCCAGCACCCGAAAGCATTCGTTGCACGCGTCGCCACTACAGCTGAGAGCGCATGCGCAGTCCCCAGAGCGCATGCGCAGAGTCGCCCAGGAGCCTGTCGGGAATTCCAGCCGCTTAGGATGCTGGGACCCGCCCGCTGTGACACCGAACTTGGGCCATGCACCCACCAGGCATGCCTGTCTCAGGCGCTGTGAGGACGCAATTCCCACTGAGCCTGGTCTAGGTTTCCGACTTGGGAGCCCTACTGTCGTGGAGTGTCCTTTAGTGCCCTCGACCAGCCCCGAGTCCCATCCTGGGGTAACATCTGATGCCAGGCTCCTGAGGGTAAGAGCAGGGAGGCGCCAGTTGAGAAGCACAGGGCCGCCTCTGAGTAGGTGTTTATCCAGGGAAAATATGGGGGATGCCCACTGGGCAGCACAGGCTTTCTTAGTTTCAAAAAAAATTACCCCAAATCGTGATACCTAAAACTGGACAGCTGTCACCTACGCATTGAGGTAGATTCTGCCATTTTATTTTTTGTCCATCTTGAAATAGACGTATTTCCAGCTTTTACACATCCTCTATATACGGAAGACTTAAATAGAATTTTCCTTGGTTGAGAGTCCACATTATGCACATTCATTAAAACGCTTGAAATGAAGCAATCGGATCAGGCGCCACAGGTGTTTTTGAGGTGATCTGCCCGTGCACTCTCCTGGATCTGTTTGTGGTTATTAAAAGTGTATACCCGTTGGGCCCTAATGTTTTTACCTGTTACTTTCTTTTTTCTGCTGTGATTTTTTGCTCAATGCCGTGTATTAGAAATTAAGCTGGGGAGGGCTTGAGGGGTCCCCCTTATATAAGCCTTAACACTGTCTTTTGTAGCCACCTCTCCAGGTGATGTGACTCCACTATGAATCTGTGATACACGATCCAATGAATCAGCAAAAATGATCACCAAGTCCTGCAAACCCTGTATGGGTTGTGAATGTTACTAAATCCCCTTCAGACAAAAACCTATCCTAATAAAACAACTTCCTACTAGTTTTTTGTTTTATTTTTTTGCAACTTGTTCACAGTAACTGGAAAGGCTTATCTTGGCCTTTGTATACATTTCAATGTCTATCTTCTGAGAATTTACAGAGATAATTCTAGTGGTACAAATTAGATGAAACAAAAAATGTAGCCTTTGACTTCTATTTTGGCAATATGAGCCTTTTGTGCATTTTCTGGACTTGACTATGCCAAATGTAGAAATAAATACAAAAGGATAGTGTCTTTTAAAGTTATAAAACACAAAGCAATCAAATTCCACCAGCATAAGTACCTAACGTTGTAATCCTAGCCATTACCTTTGTTCTGCAATATCCCTTCCTACTTCATTAAGATCATCCCACAGATTCCCCAAACCTAGTGTCCCCCACACCATTGTTTCCAACTTCCAACCCATTTGGCTAAAAACCTGTGTGAGTTACTATATTATCTCAGTGTATATAGTGTGGGAGCTACAAAGTCTTAATATCGCAGAAGTCTGGAACACTAAGAACTGAACTGGTTCTTGGTAATATGTGTCCTGTTCTCATAGTGTAAATTCTTCCCTGGATTATTTCTAGGATGCTCTGGAGATAAGACCACTGAAATCAAGGCAGAGACACAGAGACCCATTCACCAAAGTTTTTTAAATATTGTTTTTTATTATTAAATATCAAGAATATAAAATATATGAATGACTACTTTTCTCACATATGATATTTAAATGAACACATTATATATAATTTCGGCACCCCTATATACATCTCAATCCCATTTTCTTCATACCTCTCCAGAGGTAAAACCTGATTTTGGTGTTTATCATTCTCATACATGTTTTTAGTATGTGTACACATCAGTCTTTGTTTTCATGATCTAAAATGACTATCTTATAGCATATATCACTAGGCCATTTTAACTCGTTTTTGAAATGTAGTCAATACACAGTTTGTAATAACAGCTAAATATACACATATACCACCATTTATCCATTTTCTAATGGACATAGGTTCCTAAGTTTTACAATAAAATAAAAATACTGAAATAGAGATCAACCAAAGGACTTGTATGCCTGCATATAAGCATAACCAATGGACATAAGACACTGGGGGTTAGGGGAGGCTAGGGGACTGTCTAGGGTGGGGGGGGGGGGAAATGGACACATATGTAATACCCTTTGTAATACTTTAAGCAATAAAAAAAAAAAATACTGAAATGAACTTTTAGTATGTCTTCTTGATTATACAGGCCAAGAATTCCTATAGAATGTAATACCCAAAGACAGGGTTAGTGTATAAGCATTTTCAATAAATCTAGTTGTTGCCCTAACTGGTTTGGCTCAGTGACTAGAGTGTCGGCCTACAGACTGATGGTTCGATTCCAGTCAAGGGCATGTACCTTGGTTGCGGGCACATCCCCAGTGTGGGGTGTGCAGGAGCCAGCTGATCTATGTTTCTCTCTTTGATGTTTCTAAGTCTCCCTCTCTGTGAAAACATCAATAAAATATATATATTTTTAAAAGAAATCTAGTTGTTGCCAAACCATTCTCCAAAATATAAGTTAAATTTCTTTGCCATCAGCAAAGATGAGATCCTATTGTTCCTGACCCATCAACATGTGAAAGTGTCAGGTTTTTTGTTTCAACATTAGCCGATCTGATCGCAGTGAAATGGTATCTCAGTGTTTTAATTTGTAATTCTTTGATTACTAGTGAGATTAAACATCTTTTCAAGGTCCTCATCTGTAACTTGCCCACTCATATTATTTGATCATTTTCTTGATTTATATGGAATCCTTTGTCAGTTACATGGCACGCAAACATAAGTTTGAATTTTACTATACACAAATCAGTCATTCTTTTGTACTTTTATCTATCCCAATGTTATACTTTGCTTTTCTATAATTTTAAAGTTTGAACTTTATTCCATTTTTCCTAACATAGGAGTCTCGATAAAATGGCAGCACTATTTGTGCTTATATATAACTTATACCATTTAATCACAGGTTACTTTCACCTTTCAAAAATGCTAGTTACCATGAAGTTTGATTTTGAATAGATAATTCTAAGTACCTATCAGCTATATTATGATAGTACTTTTCCCTCATTATCATTGAATATTACACTGTTAGCATCATCCATTCTAAAGAACAGGCTTCATATTCCAACAGGTTATTATAGTTGCATGTGTGTGATTCTGGTATGAGTATTAAATTATATTCCAAACCAGAGTGAAGTATAGCAGAATTCCAATATTTGGATGTGTATTTTACACACTTTGCATGTACTTTACATTCTCGTGGATATAAGTACAGATATATGGGGCAAAAAATTCCCTGTACTATAATTTAGCCAGAACAACTGAGAATATTTCAACATATATATGTGGCTAATATGCAAAGTGTCCCCTCAGTAGTTCAACCAGGATTTGATTGCTCGCTATGATGCACGCTGGCCATCAGGGGGTGACGCAGAATGAAGGAAGGCCCCCGATGGGCCCTAATCAATGGCCAGGCCTAGGGACCCTACCCATGCTCGAATTTCATGCACCGGGCCTCTATTTAAATATAAAGCAGAAATAATGCCTTAAAAAAAAACCAAAACACTTTATTTTTTCCCATCATCATTTATCCTCTCTATGCCCTCTTCCACCTCTTCCCCTCTTAAATTAATGACTTTTTAACCATTCTTGACTGGTATGTGCAATTTAAACCAAAGATAAATATAAGGCTATAAAATGTTAATAAAAGATTGCCCATTAAATATCAGTAAGCTTTTGCATATCTATTCCTCACATACATAGTTTTCACAACCATTCATTATTGCCTCTTAAAGGATCAAACATCATAATCAGATTTTAAGTTTTAGGTTCTGGCTGGGTTGGAGGGTCATTCTCATATGCCAAGGTTATGGGTTTGATACCCAGTCAAGGCACATACAGGAATCAACCAATGAGTGCATATGTAAGTGGAAGAGCAAATCGATGTTTCTTTCTCCCCTCCTCCCTCTCTAAAAATCAGTAAGTGCCCTAGCCAGTTTGGCTCAGTGGATAGAGTGTTGGCCTGCGAACTTAAGGGTCCCAGGTTCAGTTCCAGCCAGGGGCACATGCCCAGGTTGTGGGCTCAATCCCCAGTAGGGGGTGTGCAGGAGGCAGCCAATCAATGATTCTCTCTCCTCATTGATGTTTCTATCTCTATCTCTCTCTCCTTTCTTCTCTGAAATAAATAAAAATATAAAATAAATAAATAAAATCAATAAGTAATTTTTATTTCAAAAAAAAGATTTTTGGGTAGACTCACTAGTACCCAGAGAGTTTAATGCACCTATATATACAGTTTACATTAGAGTCAAAATTAATTCCCGGTTTTTCTATTTAAATGTCTTGTTGAAATCCCATTAAAATGGTTGCCATTTTCCAGGGATTAAAAAATAATAAAATTAATGGAAATTGATTCACTTCAAAATTATTTTTTGAGTATGTATTATAGACCAGGTGTTAAGGATAAGGAAGTTATCCTGCTTTCATGAAGTTTACAATCTAGCAAAGAATTTAAGGATGATAAAATAAATATTTTACTCTTTCCTTTGTTTACTGCCTCATGTTTTTTCAAGTTGATTCTATAAGCCATTTTTGGTGAGAAAAGTCAGCTTCCATCTACGCCTTCATACTGCAAAAGAAAAAAAAAGGTTTTACTATTGTCTTGAATATGTGAACAATCACTCAGTAGAAAACTGAGTAAACCATTTAAAAATGCATGACTTCAGAATAGTATGTTTCAGCAATTTACTAGAGCTCTTTCTCATATAGCCCAGATCAGTGTCATTCAAATACTATTACAATTAAAGATTTCTCTAAAGATAATATCCTCATGTCTTAAAATTATTTTTTTTTATTAATCACAGATAAATTTTTTTAATCCAACATTACCACCTGGCTTATAATTGTTTGACTCCGCAAAAATCAGAAGGCACTAATGGACAGCCAACCCATCCCATGGTGCTCTGAGTGAAGACAAGTCAGCTTAGATATATGATGGACTAAAATCCCACTACTTAAGGCTACAAGCAGTGAGAGGAACAGCCATCAGAGTTTATCTCCAATCATCTTAACAAACATTTTAATAAATGGTCTAAGACAGCGGTTCTCAACCTGTGGGTCGTGACCCCTTTGGGGGTCAAACGACCCTTTCACAGGGGTCACCTAAGACCATCGGAAAACACCTATATAATTACATATTGTTTTTGTACTTAATCACTATGCTTTAATTATATTCAATTTGTAACAATGAAAATACATCCTGCATATCAGATATTTCCATTACAATTCATAACAGTAGCAAAATTACAGTTATGAAGTAGCAACGAAAATAATTTTATGGTTGGGGGTCACCACAACATGAGGAACTGTATTAAAGGGTCATGGCATTAGGAAGGTTGAGAACCACTGGTCTAAGAAGTATTTATTAAAAACATCAAGTGACTCTTACAGGAATCACTACATCTAAATTTTTATGGTCAGCCAAGTACTCAAAGAACCATTAAATATCAATTAGCCCAGCTAGATAGGCAAAATGAGGAACTCGATAAATAAATTAGTGGCAAAAACAACTAAAGAAAATGTTACTGGAACAATTATATAGGAATACACAGGTTTTGACTCTAATTCTAGAATTAAAGTAGGCTTTAGGGTAAAAGATAATGAGGGATAGGCTAATTGGAAGGTACAGATAAGCAGTGAACAAAGAATCTCCAACAACCTCTTATGCAGATACTAGGAACCCAGTGCACAAATTCATGCACCTTGAAAGGAACTGTGGGCTGTGAAGCTGCAGTGGGCACAGGGGTGGGTCTTGGCCTATCCTCTGCACTCCCGCCCAGCCCCACTCACTGTGGCCCCCAGTCTCCTGTCTGCCAGCAGCCCCGCTCCCACCCCCGCCCCTCCCATGTGGCGCTGACAGCGCCAGCCCCCCCTCCATCTGCTGGT